CGTGTGTGCTAGGTGGTGATGTTGCTGCTGGTGATGGCCGTGTTAGCTACGTGGTGATGTTGCTGCTGGTGATGGCTGTGTTAGCTATGTGGTGATGTTACTGCTGCTGGTAATGGCCATGTTAGCTACTTGGTGATGTTGCTGATGGTGGTGATGGCCGTGTTAGCTATGTGGTGATGTTGCTGATGGTGGTGATGGCCGTGTTAGCTATGTGGTGATGTTGCTGATGGTGATGATGTTGCTGATGGTGGCGATGGCCGTGTTAGCTATGTGGTGATGTTGCTGATGGTGGTGATGGCCGTGTTAGCTATGTGGTGATGCTGCTGGTGGTGATGGCCATGTTAACTATGTGGTGATGTTGCTGCTGGTGATGGCCGTGTTAGCTACATGGTGATGTTGCTGCTGCTGGTTGTGATGGCCGAGTTAGCTATGTGGTGATGCTGCTGGTGGTGATGGCCATGTTAACTATGTGGTGATGTTGCTGCTGGTGATGGGCGTGTTAGGTACATGGTGATGTTGCTGCTGGTGGTGATGGCCATGTTAGCTATGTGGTGATGTTGCTGATGGTGGTGATGGCCATCATGAGGATAGTAGTGGAGACAATGGTATTATGTGACAATATGATGACAGTGCTGCTAGTGAGACTGGTAACAATGTTGACGACAGTGGTCGACCACAATTCAAGTCCCAGGTCCAGTGGCTTGAAATTCACACCAGGCACGTGTGCATGCATGCCCAAAATCCTGAGAGGAGACTGGAGAAGAAGGGATTGTGGCATGGCCATCCCCCTGGGGGGTCATTTCTCACTTTTCCTTTCTGTCTGTCCAGCAAACACATGCACATGATGGGGTGGGGGGAAGATGTATAAAATCCAGAATGGGTTCATTACATGCTCCTTGACTTACAATAGGGTTGTGTACTATAAACTCGGTGTAAGTTGAAAATATTAAAAGTAGAAAATCCATTTAATACTTTAATAAACCCATCATAAAGTCAAAAATCGTTAGTCAAACCATCAAACTGGAGACTGTATTCATTTTTCTCTTTTGATTTTTAAGAGAAAACCCATGGGCTCCTAGAAATACTGTGGCCCCTGGTGCTTCAGCCATGATGCCCCTGCTGTTTCTAGAATTTGTTCTGAGACAGTTCACTGGTCATTGACAAAATGATAGAAACCCCTACCTTGGGTCAAAGCTCAATATTGGGCGTCTCCATTGAGCCAAGTTGAGTGACTTGTTCCTTTGCCATTCATTCGGTCACCTAATGCCCACACACTTTCCAAGCACCTGGCTTCATTGTTGGGGCTCTGATGAATAAGACTGGAAGACACTGCTCTTCCCGCCCTCAGAAATGGTGCAGCTACCAAAATGCAGCCCCCTCTTTCAGGAGTCCTACTGTCTCCTAACTGCCCCCGTCCTACTGAGTCCCGGGTTAACTCAGATTTTATTTTAGTTGGTGCTGAATACCACCCAAAGTCCTAGGAGGAGAACGCTGCATTCTACAGTAGATGGCAGAGCAAGGAGGCCTGTGGGCTACACTGATGGTTTTCACTATGTTCTCTAAAGATGTTAGGAGTGGGACCAGCAAGTAGCGAAGTGGTTACGGCACTGGACTCTCACATGGTCAACCACGGGTCGAGCCCTGAACTGGGCAGCTTGAAAATCACACCAGGTGCATGTGCATGCATGCCCAAAATTCCAGGACGATAGAGGAGAAGGGACTGCAGCATGGCCGTCCCTCTCAGGGGTGATGTCTCGCTTTCCTTCTCACTGTCTGTTTGGCTCCAGACATGCCCTATGGCAAAAGTCTTAAAATAAATAAACAAACACACAAAGACAAATGTCAAGGAAAGAGATAATGGGGAATAAAAGGATTTTAGGAGAGTTTTTCCCCTAGTACACTGACATGGAGCCCGTTCATGACCACTCTGGTCCCTCCCCATGAAGCCTACCATACTGACTGTACTATGAGGCAGTAGGCAGGTTCCCGTCTGTGCTCACCCGCCCTCTCACGGAGCTCTCCTGTGGGGATAAAGGGAGCTATTGCTGGAGAAGCGCTTGGGACAAGGCTTGCCACACAGTAACCCTCAGTGGGATCTCAAGTGTGAGGACGGCTGATGCCACCATGTTACTCCACACGCAATTCCAAACTGACCGTGGTACACCCAGGGAGTTCAAGGGTGTTTCCAAGACAATGTCTCAGTCGCTTGTTCCACAACCTGGAAGAATCCCCCAGCCTGGCAAAACTACCTTCTCACAGCGGAAAACCAAGCCACCCCCACCCGTTCCTCTAGAAGGCGCCATGTTTATGTAGTCTGAGACCTCCAGGTGGGCAGGAGGGCAGGAGGTGGGGACTCAGGGAAGGCAGGTTTAGATCACTGGCCTCTGTCATGCTCTAGCTGTGCAGGTTTGGGCGAGTAATCCACTCCTCCGAGCCCCCGTTTCTTCATCTGCAAAATAGGGTCCAAATATTTATTTTGGGGCCGGCAGATGGCGTGGTAATTAAGGGCACTGGACTCCCACATGGCCAACCCCAGTTCAAGTCCAGGACCTTCTGGCTTGCTTTCTCAACTTTCCCCTTCTCACTCTTTCTCTCTCTCTCTGTATCTCTCTGGTCAAGGTAAAATAAGTAAAGTTAAATAACATAATTATTTTCAAAAAAGTATGTATCTTGCGTGGCTGCTGGGAGGCTGAAGGTGGGTTTCCACCTACTACACGCCTGGCGTACAAGCGCTGTGAGATCAACTCCCCTTGTCTCCATCACCACCGTCACCACTGTGATTAGGCCGTGGTGCCAAGTCCTCCCTCATACACTCGGCCTCCTTTCCCTCCTCACCCCTCCCCATGGCACCTCCCTCCAGGGACCTTAAAACCTTAGAGATGAAAAACTATGAGGAAGGCTGGAGACTTCAAGTAGAGCTGACGCCCTCAGATCCACCCTAGGGTCCTGTGTGGGAGAGCTCAGTGGGAGGCTGCTGGGCCCCTTCTCTCTACCCAGGACCCTCCTGCACTCCCTGTTTCATAGGGACGTCAGACGTGACTTCTTCTTTGATGTTTTTCCCCCACAGGACAACCCGGGCCACATGAGTGTGCCTCCAACCTGGAGGAGAAGACCAGGTGGGGAAGGAGGTGAGGGGAGAGCGATGGAGAAGGACAGAAGATCCCAATATGGAAGAGCTAGACTGGAAAGGGTCCAGGGTCTCTTTGGAAGGGATGGCCCACAGGCAACGAGCCCAGTCCCAGGATGTGTGAAGATGGAGGCTCCTAGACGTCTGGAGACCCCGCCTAGGAGCTGGAGGATGACACGATGGGCCGCATGGCCATCGGGCAGTCCACCTGCCAATCAGCACTGGCCAATGGGATGCAGGCTGGGGCGGGTCATGCACAAAGCTCTGCTCTAATTCCAAACGCTTGCTCCCTCTAGCTCCCGCTTTCAGCTTCTGTTTCCCTAGCGGGACACCCGTGGAATCTTCGGGCACTGTAACTGTGCCCCATCTCACCATTGCTGGTGACAGGGAGACACAGCAAGTTGTAAAGGCTAGACCACCGACACTGCTTTCGGGGGACATGGCACATGCTGAGCAGTCACCGTTAGAAAACCACCCTGGGGGGCCTGCAGATGGTGTGATGGTTAAGTCGCTGGACTCCCGTGTAGCGGACCGTGCTTCACGTTCACAACCTGGCGGCTTAAAACTCACACCGGGAGCACGTGTGAGCATGCCCAAAATTCCAAGAGGAGAGGGGGAGAAGGGACTGCAGTGTGGTCAACCCCCCAGGGGCGATTTCTCACTTTCTGTCTCTCTTTGTCTCTCCAGCGAACACACGTGCCCTATAGCCAAAAGCTCTCCACGAAAAGCTCTGGGAAAAAAGAAAGAAGCTGAGAGGGGTGATTCCTAATGTGGAACTTGATGTTTTTGACTTGATCATAAATTAGAAATGTATAATGTAAAGCTGCATCTGACAGGATCACGTGCATGATTGACAACTGGACGGACGTGTGTGTGTGTGTGTGTGTGTGTGTGTGTGTGTGGAACTTTCAGTAGAGGCAGTGCTATCTCTGGGTAACCTTCTCTCTTACACGTCACTCTGTGCTCCCCTCCCACAGTTTCAGTCGCGGGTGGCCAACAGCGGTCTGGAAATATTAAATGAGATCATTTAAAATCCTCTATTTCAGTTATTTTGGAATATACCTTACATTATTCTGCCATTCACAACAACACAGATGAGCCAAGAGGGCATTGCACCACGTGAATAAGCCAGGCCCAGCGGGCGAGATACCACACACCCACTGCCAGGTGGAGTCCAGAACACTGAACTCAAGGAGAGAGAGGAACGGGGTCGCAGAGGCTGCACCAGGGGTGGGGTGGAAGGGGGGATGTTGGACAACGGGTCCACAGTGTCCGTCAGGAGGCGGAATCGGCTCTGGTGATCTGTGGCAGAGCAGGGTGACCTGGGGCTTTGGGTTCCCCAGGAACCAGCCTCCGACTTCCCATGCCCTGAAGGGGCCGCGATCTCTCGAGCAGGGCGAGTCTCTGCACGTCCTCACTTGCAGATCTTGATCTCTGAGTACTCGTGGCCGGGGGCCGTCTGGTCCTGTGGGTCCCTGGGCGGCATCTCCTGAAAGGTGAGGGCAGCATAATGGAGCTCCACTTCCTCGGAGGGCGGGACAGCCTCTGCTGGGGGGCTGTCACCTGCCAGGGATTCAGTCGGGGGGTCCTGAGTGGAGAGAGGAAAGGGGATTACGCCAGGACAGTGGGGGTGGCTAACAGCAGAGCCCAGCCTGGAAGCCCAGCACTTCCTCCCGCCACCCCGCCCAGGCTCTTCTTTCTTGAAATCTGCATCCTCGCCCTCCTCAATGCGCACTATTTGACAAGCACTTTACTTGGTGGTTAGCGATTTTAGTAACTTCCCACAACACCGTCCCGGTCCTGAGCATTACCTCTGCGTAGAGATTTGAAATCAAGTACGTGCCCAGACGCCCTGTGAAGATCCAGCCCAATTATTTGTCACCCCACATCCTGGTGCCCCACTGGGGTGCCCTCTGTGTGAGGTTCTAAACTGAGTGCCAGACGTACCGTGGTGGGCAGGGATGACATGGGGCCTGTGTTCGAGCAGCTCATTCTTCAATCGAGGGAGGAGGCAATAAGTGATTGTTCAAACAAATAACTGTGATTTATGCTGTCATGGGCAGGAACAGGGTAAACGAGAGGGAAATTTTGAAAAAACCTTGATTCAGACACAGTGCTGACCCTTGGGGAGCTCACTTTTTGGTGGGGGTTGGGAAATAATCCAATAAAGGAAATAATAATCCCCTCAAATGTCCACACCCTAGTCCCCTTGGATCCTAAATATGTTACCTCATAGGCAAAGAGGATTTTGCAAATGGAATTGAAGAGATTGAGTGGGGAGATTGTCCTGGATTATTTGGGTGGGCCATGAAGTCACAAAGGTCTTCGCAGTGAGAGGAGGGGAGAGAGATCTGAAGATGCTACAGTGCTGGCTTTGCAGAGAGGAAGGTCCCCCAACCAAGGAATGCAGGTGGCCTCTAGAAATGGCAAGACAGCGCGTTCTCCCCTGGGGCCTTCAGGAGAGCCAGCGAGCTTGCCAAAGCCTTGGGGGGAGGGCAGTGAAACTCATTTTGGACCCTTGACCTCCAGAACTGTAAGACAATACTTTTGTGTTTTAGCAGTCACTAAATTTGTGGTGATTTATTACAGCAGCAACAAAAAACTAATACAGACTTCAATTTTGGAAAGGGATAGAGCCTGCCTGGGGAGCGCCCCTCTTCACGTTCGCCCTTCTGCTCCCAGGACAAAGAATAGAATTGTCACAGAATTACCAACGTGTTTCCTCCTCTCATCCTCTCTCTCTTTCCTCCTTTGTAATGATAAATGTTATGGACGTATAATAGTCGTGCTTATTAATAGGATACAGGGTGGCTTCCAATACATGTATCTGGTGTGTAATGATCAAATCAAGGGAATACACATATCAATCCAAACACTTATTATTATTTTGTGTAGGAAATGCTCACAATCTTCTCCTCGAGTTTTTTAATGTATGCGTGGAATTATCACCAGCTGTAGTCACTCTGTCTATTAAGCTCTGGAATTCTTCCTGTGTACCTACTTGTACTCTTATGTCTTTGTTTTTTTTTTTTTTTTTGAGAGAGAAATTTTTACTATAGGGTGCATGCACTCACCAGAAGGAGCTAGACAGAAAGCGAGAAATCACCCCCCAGGGGGATTGGATGGCCACTCCACTATCCCTTCTCCTCCATTCTCCTCTCGGGATCTTGGAGACGCACGCATATGTGCCTGGCGTGAATTTAAGCCAACAGGCACAGGACTCGAACTGTGGTCAACTACATGGAAGTCCAGCGACATAGCCATTACGCCAACTGCTGGTCCCGACTCTTGTGTCTATTAACCAGCTCTGTTAATCTAACACTTTCTTTCTGCCCAGCTCCAAGTATCCATCAGTCCACCTTCTAATTTTAGGTGGTCAAATCTTTTAGCTTCGCCTAAGGAGTAAGTGCATGTGGTATTTATTACCCTTTCAGTGTGTGGCTTATTTCGCTTAGCATTATTTCCTCCAGGTCTGTCAATGTTGCCTCAAATGACAGAATTTCATCTTTTTCTATGGCTGAATTGCATATATATGTCACATTTTCTTTACTCATTCATCTGTCATTGAATGTAAGTTAGTGCAGCCATTATGGAAAACAGTATGGTAGTTCATCAGAAAATTAAAAATAGAACTATCTTATGAGTCAGTAATCCCACTACTGGTTATATAGCCAAAGAAAAATGTATGTTGAAGAGCTTTCTCCATTCCAATTCTCTTGATTGTCCAAGTTAGAAAACACACACGAACACACACACAGATTTTTTTTTTTGAGAGGTTTTTGCTATAGGGTGCGTGCGCTCACCAGAAATACAGAGAGAGACAGAGAGACAGAAAGTGAGAAATCACCCCCTGGGGGGATGGCCACACCACAATCCCGTCTCCTCCATTTTCCTCTCGGGATCTTGGGCACACATGCACACGCGCCCGGCGTGAGTTTAAGCCACCAAGTTCAGGACTCGAACCACGGTCGACTACATGAGAGTTCAGCGACATAGCCATTACACTAACTGCTGTCCCCCCCGCCCCCACCCGTCCCACACACAGACCTTTTATCATTGCGATTAAGAGATTGCCAATGATCCCTACTTGGCTAAATCCAATGTGCATCTTTCCATCTTTTAGTTGTTACCTTCCTAGACTTGTAGCAGCAAAAGGCCCAGTTGTATCATTCCTAAATAGATGTCTTTCTATACTTAACTACATCACATTACACTTTACTGGGTCTGCCTGACCTCCTTGGCGGTCCCTTTGCAAGTCGCTCCCATCTCCAAGACCCCTAAATATCAGAGTAGCCCCAGGTTCTTTCCTTCTTCAACTTCACTGGTGATCTCATCCACTGTATGGGCCTCATGTCATCAAGAGGTTGACAAATCCGTACTTCTAGCCATTCTCTTGAAACTTCCACTCTCTTGTCCAAAAGTCACACAAAACCAAATACATCCAAACTGAACTCCTTTCTCCCTCTAATCTCCTCCTCCTACAATCTTCTCCAGCTCCATGATTGACACTTCCATTCTTCCAGAAGCTCAGGACAAAAATCTGGGAGTCATCCTTGACCCTTCCCTGCCACTCGTGCCCCACTCCCAATCCATTAGCAATTCTTCTTTCTCTTAACTTCAGAATTCATCCAAAAGCCAGACATGCCCACCAGCATTGCCATCCTGGTCTAGCCAATAGCACTTCCTTCCTGTAATGTTTCACTAGCCTCCTCCCTAACCTCTCTGCTTCTACTCGTCCCCTGCCACCCAAGCTCTTCTACACACAACAATCAGAGGGACCCCCCCTGAATATTAAAATTGTGTGATATTCTTCTGCTCAAAATTCTCCAAATGTTCATGGTGTCCTGTACATTCAGAAACGATTAACACACACGCTAGACTTCTCCAAACTCATTTCCTGTTGTGGGCCCTTTACTCTATCTGCCAGATCATATGGGCTTCCTCATTCTTACTCTACTCACTGATCAGCTTGGTCCTGGGCATGTGCATCTGCTTCTCCCTCTGTCTGAAACACTCTTCAGTCACACCACCTAATGACAGGCTCTTGAGCTTTTTTTTTCATGTATTAGTTCAAATATCACTAACAGAAACCACTATCCAACATACAGAATGGGGAAAAAAAAAGAAATTGAAAAACATGCATCCAATATATTCAGAATATATGAAGAACTCCTACAACTCAACAACGGCAAAACCAAATAATATTATTACACACAAAATGGACAAAGAATGGAAATAGATATTTCTCTGAAAAGATATACAAAAGACCAACCAGTGTATGAAAGGTTCTCGAGATCACTAATTATTAGAGAAATTCAAATCAAAACCATAATGAGATATTATCTCATACGCATTAGGATGGCCATTGCCGATAACAAACAAATGAACAAAACAGAAAGTGGCAAACGTTGTCAAGGATATGGAGGAATGGGAGCCCTGTACACTGCTGGTGGGAACGTCAAATGGTGCAGCCTCCATGGAAAACAATACAGAGGCTTCTCAAAAAGTGAATAATAGAACTATGGTACGATTCAGCAATTCTACTTTAGCTATATATCCAAAGGAACTGAAAGCAAGGTTTTGGGAAGCTGGTTTCAGAGAACTCATGTGCACTGCAGCATTGTTCACAATAGTCAAAGGTAGAAGCATCCTAAAAGCGCATCAGTCAGTAAGTGGATCCATACGATGGAATAGTAGTCACCCTTTAAAAGAGAAATGTTTTCCTGTGACGAAACATAGGTAAACATCAAGGACAGTTGTTGAGTGAAATAAGCCAGCCACAAAAAGACAAATACTGTATGATTCCACCGATATGAGATACCTAGAGGGTGAAACGCACACAGATGAGGTGTAAAATCGCGGTGGACAGGATCTGGGGACAGCAGGAAGAAGGAGAGCAGTCCTCCAATGATAGAGACTTCCAGTTTTGCGATGGCAGAGGTTCTAGAGATCTCCTGTGCAACTGTACACTTAGAAACGGTTAAGATGGTACATTTTCTGTTACCTTTTTCATTTTACGACAATAGATATATAAATGATGACACTCAGAAAACCCCACAAGCCATCTCCACAGTACTTCCTACCCTCTGTCCCTGCGTTCTCCCTGTGTACACGGCCATCTTTTGCATTGTATGTCTTTAACAGTTGCTTGCTTGATTGACTGGTTGATTAATTGCTTGAAATTATTCATTTGCTTAGAATTAAACTTCATCGAGCCCAAGATTGTTCATTTTTTTCACGCCCGAGTCCCTGGCACCTACAAACCTGGTCTCTTGGTGAGTGCTCAGTGATGTTCTTTGAGCAAATGAATGAATGAAAGGATGTTGCATGCTGCTGCTAACACCTTCCAAAGGCCTCCAGTCACAGGGACTACAAGAAAAGAGTGGTCCGTGTGACAGTACCTTGGCGCAGGAATGGTAAGCAGAAATGAACAAGTGGACATGGGAAGGAAGAGCATTTGAGTAGGAAAAAACAGCTGATGCAAAGATCCACAGCAGGGCCAGCTCCATGGTGCAGTGGTAAAGCGTTGCCCAAGGGAAACTGGAACCCATATGGCAACCATGGTTCGAATCCCCAGCCTGATCAGCCTAAAACACACTGGGCATATGTGCAAGTGCCCAGGATCCAACAGGCTAGAGGGAGGGAGCAATCGTGACATGTACAGACCCTGTGGAGGATGTCTCTCTCTCTCTGTCTCTCTCTCTCTCTCTCCCATGCACATACACATGTTCTATCATAAACAAGAAAAAAAAAAAAGGCCCAGAGGCACCAATAGCCTTGCTCTGGTGGTAGGAGTAGAAAGTTGAGTATAGGAGGAGCACAGAGCAGGAGGCAGGAAGTGGGCTTGAGGGCAGGGCCAGGACCAGGGTGAAGCGTTGAGGCACTCAGCCGGAGAGCACAGGACAAAGCGTGGCCTGCTGTGGTGGTGCAGCGCTCTGTGATGCTGGAGCCACACGGGAAAGTTCGCACTCGCATCCCAAGGCCTCCTGTACACTCCAGGCACATGCATGTGCCCATGATCTGGGCTGACTAAGGCTGGGATGGATCATGCCGTAAAGACCCTGTAAGGGGTGTGTGTGTGTCTCTCTCTCTCTCTCTCTCTCTATCTCTATCTCTATCTCTCCCCCTCTCTCCATCATGGCAGGGTCGGGTGTTGGGGAATAGTGCATTAACACAAGGGTTACCTCAGTTACTGAAATTCTGGCCCTGCTGTCTTTGTGCCTCCCCAAAATTCATGTGTTGAGACTTAGTAAGACTAAGAGGGTAAATTTTTGTGTTGTTTGTGTCGAAGGGTAGGCACATTGGGAGGAGATGAGTTATTGACTGGTTAAGTCAGGGCCCCATGGCTGAGTTCTGGTGGTTCTGTAAGGAGAAGAAATGAGACAGAGACTCGTAGAACACAGAACACTCTCTGCTCTGCTCAAGACCCTGCCATCTGCCTTTTTGTGATGCCTTTGGGTTTCCAGCCATCAGAACCGTGAGTCAAATAAACCTCTTTTTTTTTATAAATCACCCAGTGTCGTGCATTCCTGTTCACAATCAGAGAGCTGACTAACACAGAACCTCCTTAAATTTGGCATCAGAAGCAGGTGCCTCACTCACCTCACCTGAATTCCAGCCCCACTGGACAGGTGCATGACAGACCAGAGGGTGCAGAGCTCCTGACTGCAGAGTTTGGCTTTTTGCTCTAGGTCCAAGGTAGGCACACTACATCCTGTGGGTCAAATCCGACCATGGCTGTTTTCATGAAGTTTTATTGGAGCACAGTCATGCTCATCTGCCTGCTGTCTCTGCCATGTTCGGACCGGGCTGCAGAGCTGAGCAGCTGGAGCAGCAACTGTACAGCCCACAAAGCCAGAGATGCGCACTGCCTGAGCCTGGGCGGAAAACGCTTTCCGGCCTCTGTCTAGATGCTGCGTGCCTGTGTGTGTGTGCACGTGTGAGTGTGTGTGAGTGTGTGAGCGCACTTGTGTGTGTGTGTGGAGGGGTACAAAGCTGTTCAAATGCAGAAGAATGTGACAATGATGCCTTTAGATTGTCACTGCAGGTAAGGCAGGGGAGGTGACAGGCAGGGAGGTGAGAGGTCAGAGAGCTGCAGGCTGCAGCAACAATAAGGGTCAAGATTGGGGTGAGGGTGGGAGGCCGATGCTGGCTGCTCTTGAGAGAGGACTTGGCTAAGATGCGGTGAACTTTGGGCTGTGGGAGAAAGGGAGGGCAGAGGGGTGGTAACTCCTCTGTGTCTGGCCTGGTGGAAAGCAGGAGACGGACCTGTGGTGTCAGTAAGATGCAGAATCCAGCAGACGGAGGCTTGCAGGTAAGAGGAGGAGATAGGAACGAACTCTGGCCATGACAAGACAAGCAATCCTGGGGGACCAGCCTGTGGGAGGTGTCCAGGCTGGAGGCTGGAATTCCCGA